GGCAGCAAGAGTAAGAGCTCTGTGCTGGCTACTGGAGAGGGGCTGGGGCTGTCCTACAGTGGGAAGTGAGGTTCCACCTTTTTCTCAAATGCTGGTTTGGTTTTGTTGTTGTTGTTGTTGTTTTTGCACTCATGGAACACATAGTTTTAAAAGTTGTAGCTTTTGGCATATTCTTGTAGAATTGTGTGAGAAATATATGCTGCTTAGAAAATGTCAGTTTTGGGGCCAGTGAGTGGCATGGTGGTTAAAGCACTAGACTCCCACATGGCTGACAGCGGTTCAAGTCCCAGACCTGGTGGCTTGCTTTCTCACTTTCTCTATCTAGTAAGTCCATGTGCTCTATAGAAAATTAAATAATGATGATAAAAAGAAATAAGTAAATAATTCTTTTAAAAAAAGAAATGTCAGTTTTATCATTTATTTTTAAAATAATTACTTTATTTAACTTTATTTTATTTAATTAATTTATTTATATTTTAATTTGACTTGAGAGGGACAGAGTGAGAGAGAAAGAAAGAGAGAGAGAAAGTAAGAAAGCAAGCCGCTAGGTCCAGGACTCGAACCATGGTCAGCCATGTGGGAGTTCAGTGCCCCTTGCCACCATGCCACCTATAGGCTCCATTTTATCATTAATTTTACTCTCTTCGCCCCCTTTTTTTCAGAAAACATAAGAAGCTCTGAGTGCTGTTTTTTCTAGAGGCTGGAAAAGAAGCCAAAAAAACCCCACAATCAACCCCACAATCTAAGTCTCAACAATAAAGAATTTCCCTTGTCAATTTACTTTGTTTTTTTTTTTTACCAGACAATAGCTTGATTGCATGGCTAGGCTTCCTGATTTAAAGAGCAAGGTGACAATAGCAAAGATGGGCAAAGAAGAAAGGACTAGCCTGGAAAACAAAGGTCAGGACACATATGAAATTAAATGCAGGTATCCACTGAATGTGTTATTAGGCTCTTACCCTGGGGAACAGGGGCAGGGGCCAGCCACCCAGGGTGACTTAGGTAAAGTTATGTGAGAGTTCCAAAGACATTTTCCCAAGAAAAGTAGTCAAATGCTGCTCATTTTAATACCAATTTTACTCTTAGTTGTTAACACAATGTGACTTAATTAAATCCTTTAACATTGAAGAGAAGAAAATATATATGAACACTTTGCTAGGCGCTGTGCTAGTAGGCATTGGTAATTTAATAGCAAACAAGACTCATTCCGCTTTCATCTGAGTTAGGGAAGCTAACCAGCAACTCCCAAAGCTAAGGTGGAATGGGGTAAGCAACCCAAAGGAACCGATGTACTACATAGATCATAGCACTTCAGGAAGGCCTCTTGGGAAGTGACTTAGAGGGTGAGGATGGAGAGATGAAGTTAGACATTCACAGAACCAGAAGTAGGGGACATAGACCATCCCAGGCAAAGGGAATAGTAAGTGCAAAAAGACCCAAGTTATAAAAGAGCTTGACATGACGTATGAACAGAAGTCTAACGTGATCAAAAACATAGAGTAATGAAGAGTACCAGAAGGTAGCATTGCAGGGGCAGGCAGAGGTTGACCATGTAGGGAGTGCAGGACACACACTGTGGTAAGGATTTATTTTGTGGTGGATTTCATACTTCTGACTTCCAGCACTGTAAGAGAATAAGTCTGTGCTGCCTTAAGTCACCAAGTTTGTTATTTTTCCACAGAAGCCACAGAAAATTAATATACCTGTGAAAAAAAAATCGTCCCTGTCCCGGGCGACGTGCACTCTCACCAGTGTGTGAGACACGGAACTGCTGAGTGGTTGACACACTTTAATAGACAGTATAGTGGTTATGACTGATTCAGGGTGGTTCTCAGCACTGTGCATCTAAGAATTCATTCTTGGTTCATCAGGCATTATCAGATTAAGGAGGACTAATACCCACTAACCTAAATCACAGGAGAAAGTTATAGATCAGAACACAAATTTACAGCCTGTTCATGGAAATAGAAGCATTAGATGTGTCCGTTTAATCAGATCAGCTGGATGTTGTTTGGTGTTGCTTGGGAAATGTGAAACCAGAATGAAGGTAACTGACTCATCTTGGCCAGTGCTACCAAATCCCATAGTCTGCTGCATTCATCTCCACGGGATTAGAATATTTACACTGGCTAAATAGGTCCCCTCTTTCCTGACTACTGTTAGGGTTTGGAGTAAGACTCAGGAGGCACCATCTTAAGAGAAAAAGGTAAGTTTATTGAGAGAAAGAGCACCCAGGGGTTTGAAGCCAAAGGTGCTTCAGCTCACTCCACCAAGGAGGCATGATATATTTATATGGGAGGGGTGAAGGGGTAGGTAGGGTCATGCAACCGGTGAGTACTTTGAGTAGCTTACTTCCCACTTTTACTTTATCACAGTGGTAAGTAAGCTATCTTACTATCTGTGGATGTCTGGTGCCAGTAAGGGAGGGCTCTGGCAGGAAGATTCTGGACAAAGGATGGGAAATTACTTAAAGGTCATTCAAGAGCTGATCTACCAACTACTTTGGTAGATTCTGGCAAATTCTGACTTGTACGTACCATTTTTCTAGGGTCCTCAAAGGTCATCATCATGGTTAGCTGTATGCTTCAGATGTGCTGCAAAGATCAAATACTTTCTGTGGCCTCTCAGAGACTCGACCTGCAGCCTCGTCATGAGCACATGAGCAACCCTTTCATTTACTCCTGAGTCATTCAAGAAACACAATTCAGAACTAAATGCCAAGTGTTATACCAGGATTTGAGACACAAAGGTAAGTAAAATGTGCCAGCCCCACAGTGCAGCAGCTCAGCATGATAGAGAGCTGGATTCCACAAGACTGAACTTAGTTTGAATCCCAGTTTCAGTGACTTGAAAAATATGCCAAGCACATGTCCAAAATTCTGACAGGATGGAGAAATGGAGGAAAAAGAATTGCGGTGTAACCATGCCCTATTGTGAGGGGCTTTCTCGCGCGCTCTCTCTCTCATGAGTTCATGTGTCCTCTGGCAATTAAAAAAAAAAAAAAGCCTAGAGACCAGCAGTTAGTGTAATGGCTATGTTGCTGGACTCTCATGTAGTCGGCCATGGTTCGAGTCCCGGACTCGGTGGCTTAAACTCTTGCCAGGCGCATGTGCGTGCGTGCCCAAGATCCCTAGAGAATGGAGGAGAAGGCAAAACCAAACCCTAAAGGCCCTATGTTTTTTTTTTTTTTTTTTTTTTTTGGAGAGGTTTTCACTATAGGGTGCGTGTGCTCACCAGACAGAGAGACTGAAAGCGAGAAATCACCCCGCCAGGGGGGATGGCCACGCCAGGATCCCTTCTCCATTCTCCTCTCTGGATCCTGGGCACGCATGCACACACATGCGTCCGGCGTGAGTTTTAAGCCACCAGGTCCAGGACGCGAACCGTGGCCAACTATGTGGGAGTCCAGCGACATAACCATCATGCTAACTGCTGGTCCCAAGGCCCTAGTCTCTAGCAATCTTATGTTTTTTTTTTTTTTTTTTCTCTTTTATTGCCAGATGATGCACATGCTGTTCAGAGAGTACGAAAAAAAGACAGGAGAAAGGGCCCTTCTCCACTTCTCTGTCATGCATAACTGCCTGATTTTTTTTTTTTTTTAGTTGATTAAAAGCTGCTATGCATCTCTTCTGTAGATATATAATGTCATTTATTTCATGTGGTTTTTTGAAGTTCATTTTTGCCAGATAACATTTCCTTACCTGCATCAAATTTAGGGATGGAGACCTATAAACCCGCCAACTCAATTGGACAAAAATATCTCATCATTCAGGTAATTTGAGTCACATGATTTTTGATTATTTTATCTAAGTATTTACATTTCATTAGTCCAATGTGGCAAAGGACGTAGCATTTAAAGTCTCGATTATGATAACATTCCTACAAAATAGATGGTCACAGACATCCGTAGAGTTGACAGAAGGAATCATGCACTGGATGGCCTCTTCCACCTTGTAGTTTTATTCCGTAATACATGAGTTGCCTTGTCACTGAATACAGTGTATTTTTCCCTAATTTTCTCAAGTCCAAAAACCAGGACTATCCAAAGAAACATTACATCATAAACAGCTATTCACTATAGTTTACATACATAATTAATTGTACATTTAACCCGTAGACTTCCAGGTATAGCGCGATAGGGGTTTAGGTTTTGCCATCGCTTCCATGGTGAGACTTGTTTGGTAGGCTTTTCTGTCTTGGTCCTATGGTTTGGAAGTTAACCGCTGTAAACTACAAAAGGCCAGTGGAGGAGTTATTGTCTGTGTCATAGTATAAATCACTCATCTTCCTTGGCCTCAGTTTCCGTGTTTGTAAGTGTTAGTTACATGTCAGATCTTTAGTTTTTTTCAGCTCTGAAATCCAAAGATTCTTTGAGAATCTCTGGAAGATACGATCACAAAAAGTTATAGTTCTTCTGCCTAATTTGTGGGAAATTAGATTCATTGTATGAAAATCCTCAGAATGATTTTAGACTACCTATTTTTTTTTTTAAGAGAGATTTTTGCCAAAGGGTATGTGTGCTCACAGAGAGACAGAACACCAGAAATCAACCCCCAGGGGGGATGATCATGCTGCAATCCAATCCCTTCACCATTCTCCTCTTGGGATTTTGGGCACACATGCCCACGTACCCAGCATAAGTTTTAAGCCACTGAGTCTAGGACTCAAGCCAACAACTGACTATGTGGGAGTTCAGTGATATAACCATTATGCCACCTGCTGGTCCCTAGACCACAAACAGATGCTGTAAGCATTCACTCAGCCTATACTCTCCTTGCATTTACAGGATTTATTAACAAAAAGTTGAAGCATCCCTTAAATATGGACACCTCCGAGACCAGCAGGTAGTGTGGTGGTTAAGGTGCTGGACACTCCCACATGGCTGACCACAGTTTGAGTCCTGGACCCAGTGGCTGCTTTCTCACTTTCCCTCTCTCTCACTCTGTGTCTATGGTCAAATTAAAAATAAATGAATGAATAAATAAAATTAAAATATGGACACACCCAAAACCCACAAGTACTTTTGTAATACAGTTTATTTATTCAACTTTATTCTTACAAAAAGGCAAAGATAATGGAAGGAATGGAGAGGCAGGAGTAATGCAATGCTTGCTCAATCCCAGCAAGTGAGGAAGAGAGGACAGTCAGTAAGAGGTCACTTAGTTCTTCCCTGTCTTTACTAGTAACAGCAATGAACAAAGAAGGCTGGAGTTGCCAAGGTCAGTCTGCTTGGGCCATGACAAGAGCATCCAGGGAAGGAAAGGGCCTGGTTCAGCCTACTGAGGCCTCGGTTCTGGGCCAGTTGGTGGCCGACTCTTCGACGGTCTGGGGCGCCGTCTCCAGAGCGCATAGGGGCCACGAGGAGGGGGCCGGGGAAACCCCCTGTGGACCACGGGGGTCTGCTGCAGATACAAGGGTGCGGGGAAGCATGGCACAGGCAGCTGAGGACCACCCATAAAATCGGCTTGGAAGGAAAACCCTGTCTGGGTGGGTGAGGGGCCATCCGAATGGAAATAGAATTGATCTGACTGGAAAGTGCGGTCTGAGGAGAAATAGGAATCTGGGGGACAGAGCGGGAGTGGGGGCACCACCTGGGGAGGGAGAAAAGGAGGCTGTGGGGGCAGCAATGGTGGAGGGGGTAAGGGTAGGCGCCAGGACCCTGATGGGGATGGGAGCAGGGGGCGGGTCCTGGGAGCAGGTACAGGTGGGGACTGAAGTAAGGCCGGCTTGTCTCTACTCGCCCAAGACTGCCCCTTCCCTCTCTGGCCGGGATGGTCCCTTTCAGGGCCATACTTGATCCACCTGCCCACGGAGGAGCGGTGGGGCAGCTCCACGTTCCAGGCGTCGGCCACGTGGGCCAGCAGCAGCTGGGAGAGGTGGCGATGCGCGCGCTCATCCCAGTGCACCCCGTCTTGCTGCAGGTGCTGCCTGGCGTGGCGGAAGTGGAAGTGCAAGTCCAGCACGTCGAAGCCGTGTTTCTTTGCCTCGGCAAAGCTGTAGAAGTTGGCTTCCACCACCGCAGCTTTCAGGGCCGCGGCTGTGGGCAGGTGCTTGGGCAGTTTGAAACGTCCGCGGATTACGTCACCGACGGGCATGGCTGTGTTCCACACCAGGAGGCAAGACGCGGGCAGCACCTGGCCCAGGCGCCCAAACAGAGTCTCCAGGTTCTCCAGGTATGTCCCCCAGAAGTCCTTACCATACCTGGACACATCCCAGAGGCAAGAGTTCATGATGACCACGTCAGGGGGCTCGCCTGACTGCAACTTTTCCAAGACAGCCTCAAGGTATTCGGAGTATGCTCGCGTGATAAAGTAGAAGCGCACCAGATGGTGGTCGGAGCAGAACTCGCGGACCTCGCGGTAGTTGATGCCATTGTGCATGACACCCTTTTGGCCTCCCTCCATCAGTTCGTCCTGTTCGAAGCTCAGCTCACCCGTGGCCTTGAGTTGGCTGGGAGAGAGCAAGCAGTCCTTCTGCAGCAAGAGCACCAGGTCCTTGTACACCGCCCTGTGCACAGAGTCCCCCAGGATGATCACGAACTTGTTGTGGAGCAGCTGCCGGACTTCGGAAGCCAGCAAGTGGATCATGACACCCAGGGCTCCAGGCCTAGCGCAGTCCTTTGCACAGGTGGGTCTGTGGAGTGCTAGGACAGAAGGAGAGAGCAACTGGGAGGGGCTCAACCCTGGGCAGGGCTGGCAGTGGGGGAAGGCACCCGGGAGGGGATAGGGCTGTGAGCTCTGACAGTAAGGAGTGTTTGAGCTTGGAGACGGGGAGAAGGGGAAGGGAGACAGGAGCCACCACGTGGCCTTGGTCTGGCAGCAGCTTAGGTCCTGGGACTTGACCTCTGAACTGACCACTGTTGTTCTTGGAGACTCAAGCTCCACTTGGGGGGGCAGAGAGGAGCTCACCTCCACCTATCCTCCCTGGGCTGGAGGTGCTACCAGCATGCCCCAACAGCCTAAAGGCAGCCCAGCTATCTGACGATGGGGGGATGGTTAGGCAAACGTAATAGCTGTTAAATAATGAGAACTGAATAAGCAAGAACATGGAATAGTGTTTATGGTATCAAGTTGAGGTTACACCCCACATGTGCCTGTAGCACCAAGACTAGATAAAAAGGATATGTGGAAATAACATTGAAAAGAAAAAGGTAAAAAAACATAGCTTTAGTAGAGTAAGATTATGGGACTGGCCCCATGGCCTAGGGTTTAGGGAGCTGGATCCCACATGGTCGACTGTGTGGTTTGAATCTCAGATCTGGAGGCTCGAAAAACACACCAGGAACAAAAACTAGAATAGTATTATGGATAATTCCTCTCCTCTGCCTTTTCTTGGTAAATATATGCTATCATTTTATATTGCCTTTTCTTTCTTCTTCTTCTATTTTTTAAAAATTTTTGCCAGAGGGCACATGTACTCAACAGAGACAGAGAGGGAGAGAAAGCAAGAAAGCAAAAAACCACCCCCTCATGGGGCACAATCATGCCCCAATCTCTTCCCCTCTATTTCTCCTCCTATTTGGCATTTTGGGCATGCGGCCACAAGTGTGTTTCTCGCAGTTGGCCGTGTGGACTCCAGCTGCCTTAACTACTACACCATGGGCTGGCCGTTAACGCTTTCTCTAATTTAAAAAGAATGAAAAGAAATGCAGCAGGTAGCATAAAGGAAGAGTAGTACGTGTGCTAAGTCAGAAAACACGGACACATTTATTCAACAAAGAAGTACTTATTTCTTACCAGTAGGACAAAACTAGAATTCAAGATAAAACTGGAAATCATTTGAATGTATTTGAGCTGTTATGTCTTTATGCACTTTGGCATAAGGATTATCTTGCACTTTGGTCTAAAGGTTATTTTGAGCTGACAGCAACTGAGTATGGACAAATGCAAGAAGTAGTCTCTACCCTCCCCTTATCTGCCTGAAATTAGGTATACATTTCCCTTTGAGGAAGGTGACAACCGTCCCCAACCAAGGAGAGAAAAACAGCTCTCACTACTAAATTTCTTACAGCTACTCATCAGGTTTCCCACCTCTTCCTTCATGACAGCAAGACTGAGGACACCATGTTACATAAACAGCCCATACTGCAATAGTTCTTACCTTCCTTTAATTCCCCCTTACTTCCCAGTTACCTCGCCATGATTTATCAGCTCTTGAAGCCCAAACCCTCTTTCTGTTTTAAAATGGTGTGTAGGCCCCCAAGTCTAACCACTGGAGTTTCATTTCCTGTGTGTTCCTCGCATGTAAATATTAATAAAAATTGCTACCTTTTCTCTTGTTAATCTGTATTTTGTTAATTTGCATACCCCTGGGTAGTCAACCTGAGTAAAGAAAATAGTTTTTCCTCTCCAACACATTAGATGAAAGGTTGGAAGTTTCAAAACTACAGGTTAAGTTTATTCCAAACTGCCGTTCAGTACTCATGTCCACTGGGGACTAACAGGTAGAAGCATGCTGTAGTACTGCTAACACATGCCAAATGGGGCGGGTGGGGGAGGAACCATGGCATCCACTTACGCCTTACACGAAAACCACTAAAACCCATAGTGGCTTGATGTTTCTAAGATTTTATACATCAGTAAACATTTAATAGGTGTGGGTGGACAGCTACTATTAAATTATCCATTTAATTTTTAAAAGCTGTATTGTTTTAAGTACAAAAATTAAGATATGAATATTAAGCATTTCCACAAGAAAATTGTTAAGAATATTGACTTATCTTCCCCCAAGGGATCATGAAAATGTTTTTGCTATCAGGAAAAAAACAAGTTGAAAAATAAGATTAGTGGGACAAGCAGATGGCATAATGGTTATGTTGCTGGACTCCCACGTAGAAGACCACAGGTTGAGTCCAGACCCAGTGGCTTAAAACTCACGTGGGATGCGGGTGTGTGCATACTCAAAGTTCTGAGAGAATGGAAGAGAAGGGACTGTGGTGTGGCCATCCTCCCTAGGGGGAGGGGGGATTTCTAGCTTTCTGTCCCTCTGTCTCTATCTGTCTCTCCAGCAAGCACATGCACCCTATAGCAAAAATTTCTTTAAAAATAAATACATAAATAAATAAATAAAAATAGGATTAGCTTGGGCCCATTGCTGGCTTAATGATTAAGGCAGTGGATCTCACATGGCTGATTGTGCCGTTTGAGTTCCAGACCCGACAACTTAAGTTACATACTGGACATGTGCACATGCATGTCCCAAATCCCAAAAGGAGAAACGGAGAAGGGATTGCAGCATGACCATCCCCTTTAGGGAGGATGCTTTTACACTTTCTCTCTCAATGTCTAGCAAACACACAAGCCCTCTAAAATTAAAAAAGAAAAAGAAAAAAAAATCAGCTCATGTGGTGCAACAAAATAAAACAAAATTAATGAAAACGTTGGATCTCTGAGACTCAAGCATGTTCACTTATTTAGAGTCATTTATTCATCTAACTCATTTACTAAGTGCTGACTATGTATTCCACATGAGAAGTATAAAAATGAGTAAGATGTAGGCTTGCCTTCAAGGAGCAAATCAGAACTCCCCAGGGATAATGTGATACAAAGTAGAGAGTACTAAGGGCCATGGAATGGACCTTCAGTCTTTGGAAACAGTATCCCCACACCCAAATCTCCAAGGTGCTAAACATAAGAAGGAAACCCTTTCTTATTGTGTTTCCAGGGCTCCCGTGCCACCCCCTCTCTAATCATGAACCCTGCCTGGGCCGGCACTCTGGTCATATTCTATGCTCTCTCCCAAAGGTTGGTAGATCTGATAACCTAGTGTTGTCTCGGCTTCAGTGGTACTTTGTTTAAATGGTCTAGTGTATTCCTTCTCAGGGTATAAAGTGCCACAGACTCAGACGGACCTGAATTCATGTCCATTGTGTACCTAAAACCTGTGGGCATAAAACAATGAAGAGCATTACTTTTGGAGCCATACTGTTTGGGTTTGGATCCCAACTCTTCAATTTGCTAGCTCTTTGGACCTTGGGCAAATTATTTTACCTTTCTATGAGCCTTAATTTTCTTCATCTGTAAAATTGGACTATTAGTACCACTTCATAGATTTGACGTGAGGATCAAATGTGAAGTGTTTACACTAATCCCTGACAAGTGGTAAATGCTGTTAAAATTTAGTTATTATTGGGCCAGCAGGTGGTGTGGAAGTTAGGGTGCTGGATACCATATGTCCATCTGAGTGTGGTTTGAGTCCTGGACCCAGCGGCTTGAGAAACATGCCAGGCACGTGTGTGTGTGTGTGTGTGTGTGCATGCCCAATAATCCCATGGGCAGAATGGAAGAGAGGGGGTTGCAGTGTGGCCATCCTCTTTGGGAGAGTTATTTCTCTCTTGCTCTCTGTCTCTGGCAAATACTCACGCTCTGTAGAGAAAAACCTTTAAAAAAAAAAAGTTAGTTATTATTTTCTGAACACCAGACTAATCATCTGTAAAAGAGGGATTCCAGTATTTGTACTGTTTGTCTAGCAGGATTTTATGAAGATCAGATGAGAAGATGCAAGGGAAAGATTTTGAATAAAACAAAATTAACGTCTATCGAATGGCTATTAAATGCCAGGTGCTTTCCAAACATACACCTATTTCTGAGATAATTCTCATTATTTCCAACTTATAGGGAAGGATATGGATATGATGGAGCTATAATTTACTCCAAAGCCCGTCTTGGGGCAAACACTCATCTACTTTGTCTGTGCCTAGAGATGGATGGTCTGTTCTAAGGCAAGAGCCATGACAAAGTCTGAAGACCGAGGCTTTAGAACAAACCAAATGAAATTCTGCAGAGTCCCAGCTTCAGTGTTTCAGGACGTCCTCCCTAATCAGTGAACTGAATTAACCCTCCACCTGAAAATGTGTTAGTGCTCTTCTCCAACTGAATAGACAACTGTGACTAGAAGATATCAAAGAAGGGAGAGGGCAACGCAGCACCTCCCCTCAGGGGCCACCGCAGTCACAAAGGTAGCACAGATCATAAATGTTTGCAAGCTCAACGACTAGTTCAATATGAAACATAATCTGTCTACAGGAACTCCTGAACTTGGACAATCAATATCCTTGTGGTTGATGTTTTTAGTGGTTTATGGATTATCGCTTATTTTTAAATATCTTGATAGATTTAATTAGCACCATTTTGCCTTAAGCTTTGTCACATATAATTAAAATTTCTCAGAAGGAAAAAAAAAAGAAGATAAGAAAAGGGAAAATGACCAGTAAGAAGCATTCCAATTAGAAGCTGAAACTGAAAGAAAACTCATGAGATTCTTGAAAAAGAACTTATCAAAGCTCTAACAGGATTAACAAAATCTGACACCCTCAAGGTATCACTGTGGGACAGAATCATTCATGCTAAATGATTCTTTTAGGGGGGGGGGTGAGTAGAGGAAAATCATTTGAAGATTTAAATTTTTTCTGACTTTTTTAAAAGCTGATCATTTTAACTTTCAGAGTTTTTTTAATGTATAAAACTGAAACCAAGAAAAGCATTTGAGAACAATCAGATTGGTGGCTAGGTTCTTTGCAACAAACTCATTAATTAGTTTGGCTAAATTTCACTGATTAGTTTGGTAGCTGCTGATATTTTATAGTTTCATTCATTCATTTAATAAGGATCACTAAGATCCTGGAATTGTGCTTGGTGCAAGGGGCAGATATAAAAAGGCAACCTTTTTTTCTCAGATAGAGAGGTAAAAAATGGACACATAAAAACAGGTCTCCAAGAAGTCGACTGCTACAATTGATGTCTGGAGAACAAGGAAAGTATTTTTTGTCTTGTCTTTTCTTTTTTTAAAGAAATATTTATTAAATTTTATTTCTTGTTATTATTCTTTAAACTGACCAGAGAGAGACACATGGTGAGAGGGAAAGAAAGAGAAAGCAAGCTACCCAGTCTGGGACTTGAACCGCGGTCAGTCATGTGGGAGTCCATTGCCTCAACTACCACACCACCTGCTGGCCCCAAGTAAGGTATTTGGACCACTATCCCAATCTGCTACCAAACTTTTTTTTTTTTTTAAGTTTCATGATGACTCCACAAATTATGAGTAGGTTTAGTTTTTTTCACTTTTTGAAGTAAAATTTGGGTTTCAAATGGTTCCTACTACGATCTATTACTTTCAAGCATCTTGCTTGTATTTCTCTCATTGGGGAAAACTGATTTTTTAAAAATATTCATAACTATGAGTTATTATAAACCATAAATCATTTACTTTTGCTTTGTAAGTATCACAATCCAAACATGTTACGTTTATTTTGCATTCATCATTTTTTTGTAGTAATTAAGCTAATTTCTTTTCTTATTTATGTTTGGTTATAGGGAGAATGACATTGAAATAAACCAGTTGCTCCAGATACCCTGCAGAGAAGTCTTAAATCATAGAGATAGTCACTAACAATTAGGATGCTGTTATGATTGCTTGTAGAAGAACTGGTAACTTACTTTAGAAATTTCTTGCATATGACTGTCTTAAGCTGACATTGTACTGGGAATATAAATAGTTCATTTCTTTCTAACTGCATTTTGGGGGGCTAAGCCAATATTTTAAGCTTTCTCAAATCCCCTTAAAATTTAATGGAATGAATGTACAGATAAGAAAATAATTATTTTTGCATAAACTCACCTCTACGTCTACGCATTTGCTTGATTTTCTAATTTTAATTAAATTTGTCAAAAATTACGTTGTATGCCATCTAAACTTTTAAAAGAAGAAAGAAAAGCAAATAATTTTAATTTCTTTTCGGGAAAACATAATGTCCTATGGGTTGAAGATTCTCAAGATTCATCTTTTGATTTGGTTAAGTTGGTTAAAATCCATCCTGCATACCAAACCAAAGTGGGGGAGGACTGTCTCTGTAGCCTGGTGCTTAAACTCGCCAGATCAAACACGGCTGACCTCGAAATTCAAGTTCTGACCTGGAAGCCTGAGAAACATGCTGGGTATGTGTGTGTGCATACCCCAAATCCCAAAAACAGGAAGTGATGGAGGAGAAGGGATTTCAGTGTGACCATGCCTCATGGGAGCTGTTGTCTCCTCTTTCCTGAAGAGCACATGCTCCCTCTAGCAAACAAACAAACAAACAAAACACCAGGGGCGAAATAATGCAAGATTGATGAAAAGAACAAATGAAAAAATACAGAAAGGAACTGTACGATTATGGCAAGTTAGTGCAGTGTGAAAATAATCGCTAGAGTCGTTGGAAAGACCAAATCTAATCCCCCATGACTAGTGACTTCTTAAATAGGCCTCAGCTCTACAGCCATTAATTAATTCTGTATAAATTTAGAGAATACTGTGTCTATCTGAAGATTGCGACAGCTGTCATTTGGCAAATTGGACTCACCTTTCCTCACAGCTATCAAGGTTCTTCTACCCAATCCCTGGGTCATGAAATCACACCTCACAACCCCTGCTTCTAGCTTGGTTACTCAGATAATCTTAACACAATTAAAATCTAAGGCATGTCATATAAATCAAAAACTGAAACTAGAGCAATAATCATCAAAAGTATCCAAGTTTCCATTACGGAGGCAGGAATCACTGAGGGCCTGTTCAATTTACACTCGAGTGCTCCCTCCCAGGCCACAAACTTAAATTTTTATACTTTTGAAATAAAAGATCAACATAAGAATTTCAAATATTTTGAGTACCAACTTTAAAAATTCTTAAGGCAGCATATTTTTCCTATAGTAGTCTACTATAAACGTTTTATGAACTATAGAAATTCAGGAGACATTCTTTTATGAAGTAGAGTTTCAAACTACTTGACATGCACAGAACTTATTTTTATAAAAAAACAAAACATAAATTATGGACTATTTATTCAATTTTTTTAGACTTGTTTTACGAAAGAATCCTCTAAAATTAAAAATCAAAGCAATTTATAAAAACAAACACTTGACTTCTATCACGTACAGTTAGTGACTAGCACACATTTTACATTACAGTCTTGAACCATTATTTAAGCTGCATTTGCTATCACCCTATCTATCACCCCTCTACTACAAATGAGAAGATTCCGGTGGGTGGTAGCCTGGCTTTCACTTCCATGAGAACGCAAAGCCAAGATGCGGACTCTCTCTACCTAGACAGCTGTGCGCTCGTGGGGGGCTAGTTGTGCCCTGATTTGAGACAGCTTCCTCTTCTGTAAAACGGGGTTAGCATTACCTATCTCACTGGATAAAGTTCAGAGGAAAAGAGATCTCATTTAGCCAGGGCCTGGAACAGAGCCGGCCAGACATCCGGCCCCTTTAAATCTCTTGCAGAGCAAGCCCTTCCCACTCCGATTCGAGAGAAAACGCCAGCCTGCAGACGGAACCTCCAAGCTGACTCCTTCCTCAAACCTACAAAGCCACCGTACCCCCTTTCCACCCTCCCGCGAAGGCAGATGTGTACCTCCTTGGGGTAAAGTTAGTCTCTCCACTCAAGTGGCCGGTCCTCTCACATCCTCAGGGACTTTCCTGCAGGATATTCCTCTGGGAGCTGATCATTACGCTTTCTGGGTTCCTTTACTCTCCTGGGGTTGGCTCCTTCTTTCAGCATTAACACATTCTACTTTCTTGTTTTAAAAAAGAAAGGAAACTTCTTTGACTCCACCTCCAGGACTGTCCTATCTTTCGCCTCTGCTTCAAGGCCACATTTACAAAGAGTTGTTTGCGCTGGCTGTGTCCCGGTCCTCACCTCCCACTCACTCCTCATTTTACTTTAAATTGGCTTCCAACTCCACACACCAAAGAAATGCTTGTCAGTAAATCACTAATGATTTATTTTTTTGTTGCTCCTTTCAACGGCCACTTCTTGACCTTGGGCGTCAGCAGCATTCCCAAGTCCGGGGACTGGGGCTCTGTGGGCTGCTCCCCTCTGAGAAATTCTGCTCTGGAGTCCCTGTGCTTGGGACCTGGATCCTGCCTTTCCCCAGAACCTTTACAGATTTCCCTTTTCTCTGGCAATTCCCTAGATGCTGGTCTTTCTCAAGGCCCACGTATCAGCTCCTCTTCCCTTCTTCATTCTTATCCTCATATGTCCATCCACGCTCAGAGTGTTGGGCTACTAGCTCGTCATATGTCTTTGCCCCAGACAATTCTGATCTACGTTTATTTTCCCCACATAATTATTAACAGTATACCTCCCTCCCAAGAGTCCCAGTTTGGGAGGCAACAATGGACTAGTTCCTTATCAATGACCATTTGCATGCAGATGAACTCAGATTGAAGCCATAAAGCCTAGGGCCCTGGAGTCAGCCCCGCGGGTTTACATCCTGCTCCACCGCTTACTGGCCCCAGAGAGTCATGCTGATTAAGTAACTGCTCTGTTCTAAAGAATCTACATCAACAGAATGGGAATAATTTTGCCAAGGAGTCTTTACAAGTGAAGGTTACATGAACCCGAAGTTATTAGCACGAGGCTGCCACATTTTTAAGTGCTCAATGCATTTAGCTCTTATCTTTTTCCCCAGCCCAGGCCTGTCTCCCGAGTTCCAGAGGGAGTCAGGTGGTGGAGTAAAGGTCCAGGGAATGGGGGGCAGGGCAAGGAGCAAGTCTACATAGGCCTCTTTCAGTTCCAAATTCTCTAGGCATCCATTAACCCCCCATCAAGCTGAGGCTGAATTCCTGACATAATTCTCTCTTGACCTTTAAACAATCTTCCTAAAGGTAAATATTGATCATTAATGGGAATGATGGTAGCATTTTCTCACCATGCATTTTCAGGGAGCTCCCTTTATAATTTCGCTTAAAATGCTGGCTGGGGAAACAAACCATTTCTGAAATGCGTGAATCAAATTAATTTGATTTTTTCCATGAGTGTGGTTGTTTCTACTGTTCCCGGGACATCAAAAATTTTAAATAACTGCCTGAATATAAGTCTGTTCAACTACTTCTATTTCTTGGCCAAAAAAAAAAAGAGAGAGAGAGAGAGAGAGAGAGATACACACACACATATACACACATAATATATGTATATATAATTTTTTGAAAATATATTTTAGAGAAGATATTGCAATATCTTTTTGGGGAGCTGAACACAATGACCAATTTCATCTAGGGTCTCCCAAGCAGGAGAAAAAATACTGCATGTGATTTGTGTCTTTCTACAACATTGGATTTTATTTGTTTGCGATTTAAACCAATGCAAATCAGCAATCGAGCAGCCAATGGGTAAGGTGCAGTTTCTGGCTTGATAGTCTGAACTACAGACAAACTGAAAACCAAATTTCCACACACAAATACAGATACTAGGATTCAGCTTCTATTCATCAAAGAACTACTGTCAGGTACGTTTTATTTGTATACTAGCTCATGTAATTAACATTAAGCATACCACACACAAGATAGTTAACTGGAAGACAGAGAAAAAATGAACAAAGTCTCAAGCCTCAGGGAACATTCAGAGTCCTGTGACAGAGTCCAGTCCTGACACCATTCCATTCTGCAAGGCAGTCTCAGAAGATGGCTCCCATCTCAGGATGATGCTGCAAATGGGAGGGTTTCAATGTGGTCTAGAGACACTCTGAGAGTAAACACACTGAGAGCAACGTACTGATGGCAGGAGTGTCCCTTTATGCTTTTTTTTTTTTTATTTATCATCAAAAGAACAAACTCTGTTCCTTGTCCAGGGTGGACCTGTGTGATTTATTTGCATGTAGAGTAAACAGGCATCCAGGAGAGTGGAGGTCAAGTTACTCTCAAACAAGTCAGACTTCAAGTTTCAAATATGGAGTCTCTCTTGCTCTCTACATTGGGCTTTTTTTTTTTTTTT